AGATATTTAACTTACAATGTATCGAACAACAGTAGAACATCCAAATATCGTAAAACTCTGGGTAAGGCAAACCCATGTTACAATCAGCTGGAGAAATTTTATTCAATACCTCTTTATGTTTTTCAATTGATATTTTCTTTTTAAAAAACGTTTATTTTCAGTATGCTGAGGTTGGTTTTGCAGGAGCAGAAGCCGGAGTCCAAGTCCAGCAAAACAACAAACATGGCATCTCTCCTGTACGATGCAGTCAGATATTTGTGTTCTCATTTCCTTGAAGTGACTATGAGGCGATCGTAAATATTGTTTACACGTTTGGCATGTTACTGCGGTTTTCCCAAATTATGGCTCTTCTCTTGGTAAGGCTCCTACGCTCTGCCTGCTCTGGCAACGCTGGCTCTCCCCTAATTGTTGCTATATTTTCAGCCACTTTTAAATTTCTTTCACAGGAGGCAATGCCAGTGTCACAAAAAGTTGTTATCCGTGGCCGAAATTCTACCTCACAAGACCTGCTTCCTCGACGCATGAAGCATCTTGAAACAGTCTTCTTTACATCCGTTTGCTAAACCGGAACGAGGGTTATGGCACCCAATGCCAGTTACTTACCTGCCTCAATAAGTAGCCATCATGAAAGGGGTAAATTGTCTTCTGGCAAGGCTGTCACCAATAAACCCCACCTCTTAGTTTTACTCTTTAAAAGATATGTAGTAAGTCTATTTAATCAGAGCTGTGCCTGCCAAACCCCCTCCCACTGTTTCCCGTTCAACCTAGACTTCTGTTGTGTGTCGTTGTGCTTGGGTCGTATAATCCCTAACAAAATTACCAGCCTACCTTCAGAGGTTAACTTTATGATGGTTTCATTGGCTGGCTATCCTTACTCAGGAGGAGCATACCCTTTGTGTTGCAAGCACAAGCTCCGTATTCCCCTTTGCTGTCAAAGTCTCCTGGGTCACTATCTTCCCAATGGACCGTTTCTACCTCCTCCAGATTAATTTGGCTCTTTCCCATCTCATTCTCATAAATGTGTGTACTTATGTTCTATGCAAGAGGCACATTTGTGCTCAGACAATAGTCACAAGTGTTGCTCTACTTAGTTCTGTAGAAGTGGATTGAAACTCAATAAGAATCTTTATCCCTGGATGTTTCATTGCTCAAGAGCAACAAATACATTGTATATAGGAGTTTCTTTTGAAATATTTGACACTGTCAAACTTTTTTTTGGGAATTTTATGTGATGGCTTTTTAATAATGTCTTGTGTTTGTGATACTCCTTTCTAATACTTTTTAAAATTCCAGAGAAAAGATTGTAAAGTATTTCTGTTTTTTAAAAATAAAATTAAAAAAAAACAAAACAACTATTACTGATCTTTACCATTAAAATTCCCTGTTTTCCTCATTGCTGAAAATAATCCATCTGGTGTAATATTTTGTGACCTCACACAGGTCATTTAGTAAGGGACAACAGAATGGTCAATTTGACTCATCTTCATGTTTTAAATAGCATGTCATAACAGACATTTAAGTTCTGTTATTAAAAGGTTTGTGTACGGGATTTACAGATCTGCATTAAGGTCTCATTATAGAATCACTGTCACAACGACCATGTGTAAATTGACAGCGGGGTTTGGATACATTACAATACCCATGTCTATTTTACTGTTTCCTTTGTCACCATCTGCTTAACTTTCTGTTCATCCATGAGTCGAGTTCTGATTTATTAACTCTCCATTACTGACTGCAGAAATGGGGGGAGCGGGTTTGAAGTAAGATCCACTCGCTCCAAAGTTTCCATAAACTTTTAATTACAATTCAACGTATCAAATTTTAGCAAAAATGAATATTAGCAAATGCACAATTAAAAAATATATCAAGATGTACATTACTTGATTCGAATACTTCAACATCTAAACAATAGTTCAAGGTAATTAACCCATTTTAAAAGGTCTAAAATAATTTTAAAAAATACAATAATTGAAACTGATAATTGCACTTTGAAACAAGTCAGAAAGGAACTTCGCAAACGTCCACATCACGTTTGCAGATGGGGCAATTCCCTGCGAAGTCAATCCACTTGTTGATACAAATTTTACAAAATGAGTGGTTGCATTCTAATGTCATTTTGTCTTTCTTCGGTCCGAGGCAGATTGCACACACTGAAATGAGAGTAACAATGTAAGAACTAGCCCATCTTTGTCAAATGTCTGCTTCACGGAAAAATTGAACTTACTTTCGTCCTCTGTGGGTTCCTGCAAGAGCAAAAGTACATAATTGATTATTGAATTCATGGAAATCAAGTTTGCAAAATATCCTTTTAGTTGACAGCTCTGAAAATGTCCACTAGGTACCTGATTATTTTTGTCGGTTGGGTTTCTGCTGTCTTGTGGTCCGGCTGCTGAGAGTAAGCCTGTTTGTGGCCTGCAAATCTTAAAGTTAATCATCATTTGCTAAATGCAAGTGGTAGCTTAAGCAAGCTGTTCACCTATAAACATGCGCACTGGACAAGGAACTAGAAGGAAACTTAACTTTGTTTGTTTGGTTTTGTTTCTCGACAATGTTATCCTGCAAAAGAATAAGTAGTAGAATAGAATTGACTAACAGTTACTTGCCAAGGCATGAGTAACAAAAATCACACTGGATTTCATTATTCCTTACATCTTTACTGATAAAGCAATCACTATCATTGACTGATTCCCCCTGGGAATCATCTCCTTGAGAATAAGAGGGCACCTCGGTTACAGTGGTCTGAAATAATGAAAAACATTTAAGAGATACAGATGAAAACAAAGACAAAAGCTGTACAAGCTGCAGTATACTTACATCATCGAGGAAACCTGTTGCCTCTGCGGGCAGCTGGTGAAAAAAAAATTGCATTAGATCAGAATTCTAGTAATAGAGAAACAAAATTAATAATAGAGCAGAGGGAAATGCGAAATCTCCCTACCTGCATCTTGTTGAGGGTCGCAATGACATCTGCCACCATTTTTTCAAGTTGTTTGAACTCAGCACTAATGGCTGTAGGTATTAGATAATTCTTCTTGTCAACATCTTCCTGAACCATATTCTCCATTTTATTAAAAGCACATGTAATAGTGGACTGAAACTCCTCAATTATTGCTGAAAGAAAAACGTAGGAGTACGTGCAGCAGCCCGTAGTGGCTGAGCGTTTGTCAGTGTGCTAAAATTCTTAGAGGTATCGTTTTAAATAACACAGTAAAGTATGCATAGAAGGCCAGGGAAGCGTGATTGAAGAGGGGGGGGGGGGAGGGGGGGGGGGGGTATTGGAATATTTGAAAAAGACCAAAAATAACACTCAAAATCGAAATGGTAAAGTTATTGGCTTATTCCATTTGTTATTTTACACTTTTAATATTACTTATGTTACCAGTTTGAAAGTTTGATTCTATTTGTCATGTTCATCCTCAGTCCCCAGGAATTAGAATTGGGAGTGTGATGACTTCTGACCTCGACAAATGAATACTGTTAAGATATTTAACTTACAATGTATCGAACAACAGTAGAACATCCAAATATCGTAAAACTCTGGGTAAGGCAAACCCATGTTACAATCAGCTGGAGAAATTTTATTCAATACCCTCACTTGCCTCTGGTTGAAGTGAAATTATATCAAATAATATTCATTTTAATGTGTTGAAACTCCCCCCATATTGAAAACTTTAATTTGTCATTCTTTCATTCATTTTCATCTGATCTCTCTGAGGCGTTTTAATGATCACGAGTCATTTTGTTTAATAATTGAAAGTTCTGTAATATATCTTATCATAGAATGTAATTTAAATTCTCTCACCATTTTATTTTAGTATCATTAGAAATAATATGGCTCTAGAAAAATCTAGTCAATGTAAGAGAATTATAAATCTCATTCTGATTTTGAACGGCTTATCCTAAAATAAGTTGCGACTATGGCTCTAATATTGTTCGGTCCCTTGCAAGTATTGCTATTGAGAAAATTAGTTGTGAGTGTAATAAACCTTTTAAGATGCTTTTTTATAAGATACAATGACTTCTAGTCGTTTTACGACTGAACACAATTATTTTGTGTTCCAATGACAAATTTGTAAAATTGTAATTTGCTAAAAGTTATCAAATTTTAAGTACAATCCCAGATTTGGATTCCTCTTGCAAAATTAAAAAGGAAATGACTATGCTCAAAGCCGATCAGAGTCGAAATCGCAACTTTAATAGAACCCAAAAGGTAAAAGTGTGCCAAAACGACCAAATTGTCAATTTGGAGGGGAATAACTCCAAATTGAACGTTCGAAGGGTGCGTTTTGTTTGGCTCGGCGAGCTACGACCCTGTAACCCTTAGGGTTACGGGCGAAAACTGCCGTCAGAATTGACCTCCGACTCACCGTTTGGCCGCCAGAGGCGATTTAACACTTTATTGAACATTTGAACATAACTCTGCCATTTCGATTCCGATCATCTTTGGGCATAAAACATTTTCGTTTTCTTTTGTCAAGATGAACCCGATACCATAGTTAACTTTGCACGTTTCTCCCAAACTACTGCCCCCGCCCCCTCCAACTTACGTAACTAAACACGTAAACCATTCCAAATATCACTTTCGTTCCTTCTCATCGGACACTCGCGAAACTTCGCAGGCTAAGTTCCGCAACTCAAAAACTAAAAATCAAACACTCGGTTTGACTATCTGACATTTTAATAACTGCTGAGAAGGTATCAAAGTCTTCAGGTGAGCGCAAGAGCCACTTGCGCTCCCCCTCCCCTCGAGCGCCGTGCTACCAACCTACTACCACCAAACTACGAATTCAAATTAAACGATCGCTTATTTCAAACATCTTATATCGAACTTCTAAACTAAACTCGATACGACCCGATGTATACTGATGCTTCGTGCGCAGTTTGAAGTCAATTGAAGTTGCCGTCTTTGAGAAACGTGTGTGATTTCAGATAGACAGACAGACAGACACACAACCAAAGAGTTCCCTGCACCTCATGACAGCAAAGGCTTCGCTAACGCTCAGCCAATAAATTTGAATTGGATCAAAATTTCACAGGTAGAGCAACATAACAAGAAATAGAGCTTAGATAAAAAAAATTAAATGCCTACCGGATTTTTGATAAGGCACTCTTCAAACCCTGCAATTTTACTTTCTACTTTACGGAACTGGTCAACAACTGTTTTTTGTACTGCATGGGCAACTTGGGCCGATATGTGGCCAAATTCTTTTTGCACAATGTCCTGAACTTTATCCTCTAACTTTTTCTCCAGTTTAGTAAGAGCACTTGCAATAGTGGACTTCATGTCCTCAATTATTGTTCCCTAAAAAAAAATTGCATTGGGTCAAAATTTCACAGATAGAGAACCATAATAAGAAATAGAGCGTAGAGAATATTTTAAAAAATACCGACCTGATTATTGGTAAGGAATGCCTCAATCCGTGCAATTGTATTTTCCACTTCACTAAACTTGTTAAAGATCGTCTTGTCTAATTCCTGCACAACTTCAGAACTTATATCATCCACTTTGGTGGTCAGGATAGTCTGTGCTTTGATGTCAAATTTGCCCTCTAACTCAGTACAGGTTTGGTCCATAAGAGCTGGAAACTTTTCTGTGGTTGCCTTGATAAGCTGTGGAAGGACCAGAGATTAGATCAGCAGATTTGGCGTTCTTTCCGTGTTCATTATCATTAAATTCCCATGTCTCTGTAACCATTCACCGGAGCTCAAAAATAATGCGCAGAACGCAAATCGCGAGTAATGGAAAGCTTTTTGAGTCCAATGTTCACAGGTCATTAAATATCAAACTAAAGTAAATTCCAAAGATGCAGTTTTTGGAAACTCGTTATCATGAACAAATAATGCGGCAGGGTTGGGTTATTTCTCAATCCGTAAATCAGTACATGCTGTTGGTCTGAGGTAAGTGGGGTCGAGATTAAACCACACTAAGCACAAAACTCGTTGTTTCACCTCCGATCCGAAAGAGGATGATGATGAAGGTACAGAACGAGTAAAAAGGAAAAATCTTTTGAACATGAGTTCCATTTCTATTTCTAAAAGCCAATAAGCTCCAATGGAAAAGATAACCTACAGTGAGGTTTGCACCTGCTCTTAAAAGGTGGATTTTACGATGCAAATATAATCATAAATGCCCTTCGATTGCTTTCCACCTAAAAAGAGGTATACTCACTTGATCAGCGTTCATGTTTTTCATGGTTTCTTAAACCTTTTGCACAGTCAAGAGTTGGACACCGGCCCGCAACGACAAGACAAAGCTGAAGTTGAAAGCGTAATGATGAAGTATATACCTAGAATATGATTTTGATCCTGGTCCGAAGTTCATGCGACGAAGCGCGACCGAGCTCACGGCACCTTTACACTCTCATCCCATCACTGATTCTTTGCCACCCTTTGTCAGTACTTATCTTGTTATATTTTAATGCAGCAGGAACACTGACAATAGTTTTTTATCAGTAATACGCATTGATTCATTTAAGTCCCGAACCTCATCGCCTTTCTTTTGTGAAACACTGTAGAGGCTTTGGCGAAACCATGCATATCCCTCAACTACAAA